GGGTGGGGTCGTGCTGGGTGGGTCGTGCTGGGGAGTGGTCGTGCTGGGGTGTGGTCGTGCTGGGGTGGGGTCATGATGGGGCGTGGTTCGTGCTGGGGTGGGCGGGTCACGTGCGGGGTGGGGTCGGCTTGGGGGGGGGTTCGGATGGGGTGGCTCCGCACCCTAGGATTATCGATCGGGTCGTGTGGGGTTTGTGGTCGTGCTGGGGTTGGTCGTGCTGGGGGTGTCGTGCTGGGGTGGGTCGTTGCTGGGGTGTCGGTGTGGTCGTGCTGGGAAGTGGTCGTGCTGGGGTGTGGTCGTGCTGGGGGGTGGTCGTGCTGGGGGGTGGTCGTGCTGGGGGGATGGTCGTGCTTGGGGGTGGTCGTGCTGGGGCGTGGTCGTGCTGGGGCGTGGTCGTGCTGGGGCGTGGTCGTGCTGGGGTGTGGTCGTGCTGTGGTGAGGTCGTGCTGGGGTGTGGTCGTGCTGGGGTGTGGTCTTGCTGTGGTAGGGTCGTGCTGGGGTCGGGTCGTGCTGGGGTGTGGTCGTGCTGGGGTATGGTCGTGCTGGGGTGGGGTCGTGCTGGGGTGGGGTCGTGCTGGGGTGTGGTCGTGCTGGGGTGTGGTCGTGCTGGGGTATGGTCGTGCTAGGGTGGGGTCGTGCATTTCGCTCGAGACATCCTGCCAAAATTCCAGGAAATCGCACAAAAACAAACGAATTAGTCGAGACATCCTCGGAATTCCTGCGCGAGGAGCGCTTTTCCGTGTCGCGGTCGGCTCTGCAAAACAAGCGTTTCGCTCGAGACATCCTCGGCAAACTCTGCGGAGCAAGCGTTTCGCTCGAGACATCCTCAACACACGAACATGATGGACCCACGAACCCGGAAAGGGATAAAGACATGTGCAGCATGGTCACGTTTTCACGATACCCAACTGGGCGACATCTCACGAAACATCCCACGAGACACCCCGCGAAACATCCCACGAGACACCTCACGAAACAACCCACGAGACACCTCACGAAACATTCCACGAGACACCCCGTGAAACAGTCCACGAGACACCCCACGAACAGGCAACCACTCAACCAGACACCCCACGAAACCTTCCACGGGGGTGCGACTGGGTGTGGTCGTGCTGGGGTGTGGTCGTGCTGGAGTATGGTCATGTTGGGGTGTGGTCGTGCTGGGGTGTGGTCGTGCTGGGGGGTGGTCGTGCTGGGGGGTGGTCGTGCTAGGGGGGTGGTCGTGCTGAGGGGTGGTCGTGCTGGGGCGTGGTCGTGCTGGGGCGTGGTCGTGCTGGGGCGTGGTCGTGCTGGGGTGTGGTCGTGCTGTGGTGAGGTCGTGCTGGGGTGTGGTCGTGCTGGGGTGTGGTCTTGCGGGGGTAGGGTCGTGCTGGGGTCGGGTCGTGCTGGGGTGTGGTCGTGCTGGGGTATGGTCGTGCTGGGGTGGGGTCGTGCTGGGGTGGGGTCGTGCTGGGGTCTGGTCGTTCTGGGGTGTGGTCGTGCTGGGGTATGGTCGTGCTATGGTGGGTAGTGCTGGGGTGGGGTCGTGCTGGGGTGTGGGTCGTGCTGGGGTGTGGTCGTGCTGGGGTGTGGTCGTGCTGGGGCTGTGGTCGTGCTGGGGTGGGTCGTGCTGGGGTGGGTCGTGCTGGGGTGTGTCGTGCTGGGGTGGTCCGCACCCTTGGATTATCGATCGGGTCGTGCTATGGGGTCGTGCTGGGGTGTGGGGTCGTGCTGGGGAGTGGTCGTGCTGGGGTTTGGTCGTGCTGGGGGTGCGGTCGTGCTGGGGTGGTGGTCGTGCTGGGGGGGGGTCTTCTGGGGGGTGGTCGTGTGGCGTGGTCGTGCTGGGCGTGGTCGTGGGGGGCGTGGCGTGCTGGGGCGTGGTCGTGATTGTGGTGAGGTCGTGCTGGGGTGTGGTCGTGCTGGGGTGTGGTCTTGCTGGGGTGAGGGTCGTGCTGGGTCGTGTGTCGTGCTGGGGTGTGGTCGTGCTGGGGTATGGTCGTGCTGGGGTGGGGTCGTGCTGGGGTGGGGTCGTGCTGGGGTCTGGTCGTGCTGGGGTGTGGTCGTGCTGGGGTATGGTCGTGCTAGGGTGGGGTCGTGCATTTCGCTCGAGACATCCTGCCAAAATTCCAGGAAATCGTACAAAAACAAAGGAATTAGTCGAGACATCATCGAAATTCCTTCGCGCGGGGCGCTTTTCCGCGTCGCGGTCGGCTCTGCAAAACAAGCGTTTCGCTCGAGACATCCTCAGCAAATTCTGAAAACAATCGTTTCGCTCGAGACATCCCCAACTCTGCAAAACCAGCGTTTCGCTCGAGACATCCTCAACAAATTCTGAAAAACAAGCGTTTCGCTCGAGACATCCTCAAATTTAAATTCGCCGGCCTCCTTCGACCTCGTTATTTATCAGGGAAAAAATTCGCCGGCCTCCCTCAAATTGGCACCGGGGGACAGGTTTACCAACTAAAAGAGAACCCTGGGCTCATGCCCTTTCCGGGAAAAAGTGGCCCGCACCCTGTGATTTATCGATCGGGATTTCAAAAACAAGCGTTTCGCTCGAAACATCCTCAAATTTTAATTCGCCGGCCTCCTTCGACCTCGTTATTTATCAGGGAAAAAATTCGCCGGCCTCCCTCAAGTTGGCACCGGGGGACAGGTTTACCTACTAAAAGAGAACCCTGGGCCTGAGCCCTTTCCGGGAAAAAGCCCGCCGCAGGCGCCGAAAATGGTGGTTTGTACCTTGAACGTGGTTTGGGTCGCGGGTGGGTCGCGGGTGGGTCGCAGGGTAGGTCGCGGGTGGGTCGCGGGTGGGTCGCGGGTG